CAATGACCTGATGGGTAGCGACTTGATGATTTTGTTGAGGGGTCGGAACAGCCGATATTGAATATTGATATATAGGTTATACTATAGCTGTTAAACAAATTGAGAAAAACAAAAACTAATTCTTTTAAGGAAATCCTTTATAGTTGACGAGGTGCCTTCACGAAAATTTCATACTAGGTTATTAGCCAAATCAACAACGAATGAAAACCTATATAAATGAATAATGGCTTATAGGGTTTGTCCTCGACTGTACTTCGGAACGTGCGCTCACTGACTGGATTCGGTAGAGGCCATTCCTAGCTAATGAACGAACGACTGGTCAGTGGTCAGAACAACCATTTTCACGCGACGTGTTTCTGTGAGTGGTGCAAGCCAAAAAAAATGCTTGCTGATGACCAGAAATTGCAGCGGGTGAAAGAGTAACAAGGAAATTTGAACATGTATGAAAGTGGCCGCCAATTTTTAACTAACGTAATCACAGGTGACGAGTCATGGATCTTTGAGTATGATCCCGAGACAAAGAGGCAATCTTTCGAGTAGCACACACTGGTGTCTCCTCGCTCAAAAAAGGGAAGAATGATTTGACATCGAAGGCATCGTCCACCATAAATTTGTTCCTCCAAGTTTTACGTGACAGTCCTCAAGACACTCAAACGAAGGCTCAATCGGGTCTGATAAGACACCGCTGACGATAGGAAGTTGTACCGCCACAACACCCCGGCACACACCGCATTTCTTGTGAACAGCTACCTAACCAAGACCGTCATCTCAACGCTTCCGCAGCCGTCCTGCAGCCCAGAAGTGGCCCCCGATTTTTTGTTTTTTCTGTGCCTGAAAAGGCCGATGCAAGGCAAGCATTTTCAGAGGACAGAGGAGATTCAAGCAGCATGCACCTCGGCTCTCCAGACTATTCCGGAGAATGCCTTCCGTGATGCCTTCAATGCTTGGAAATCTCAGTGCTGCATCGACGGAGAAAGAGACTATTCTGAAAACTTTTAAAGAATTGTAATCATTGGTTCAATAAATTTTTTTAAATCGACTCAGTCCTATTACTTTCCGGAAAACCCTTGTATGTTGATGCAAAAGCCTTATTTCATGAAGTCGTTAGTCAATACTGTTCAACTAAAGTCAACTAGGTATAAATTAGTCACCTGTGTTAGTTTAGTTTTCAAGATTGAAAATTCAAACCCAAAGTTTTTGAAAATTAAAACCTAATTAAGCAAACAACTATGCAAAAGGCTCACGTTATTCTTAAAAGATAGTTTAAGACTTAAAAACTGCTAAGTTTTAAGAAAAACTTTTAAGCTAAGCCAAAATAGTTGTGGAGGAGCCACGTGGAAACTATGTACCTACATGGGAGTAGATATTAAAAAGAAAAACTTCAACATCCAACGCTGACGACACTCTGACGGCGGCGTTAACAAATTACGCGGCAACATACGGCCGAGCAGACGGCCAACAGAGTAGAAATATGCCATAAAAGGCGACACAAAGTGTACAGTTACATGGCTATAAAACGAAAACAACAAAAACCAAGGAGAAGCGAAAGAATTTCTTCAATACTTGAGATATGCGAAACTTCAGAGTTCTTGGTGAAAGTGTCATTAGAAGACTAACCGCAAATTACAAGCTAACCGCGACACACACTCATACACATGTCTAAGTATATGTGTAAGCTATGCAAATCGGCTTGTACATAATGTCAGTGTTTGCCGGTTAGCCAATCCATAGCCAATTTGTGGCAACAGCGCCAATACTGCCAGCATCGTTTGGCTTTGCAAAGCTTCAACACGGCACTTTGGTGGGCGTTTTCGGTTAAAATTAAAAAGATGGGCGTTTTAATTGTTCATTTAATTTAAACGTTCTACCATTACGGCGTCGAAATGTTGACAACATATCCAAATACTTATACTATTAAGAACGCTAAGCTTTATGTTGCGAAGCCAATTTTAAGTTGTCTTCTAGTTTTAACGCTTGTTTAGTGTATTTTTATATGCACCTGTCTTTTTGCTCTAGATGAAAATACATCAAAAAGTACACATAGTTGCAAATAACATCTACACCCAAAAATATATGCTTACGTTCTTCAGTGCAACAATAGGCGGATGTTCTTCCACGATACATGCATTTCCTGCTCTTTTATTCACAATTACACTCTTCCACCTGACAGGCAATGTCTTTTTGTGGACTCCATTGTAGTCCATTCGTCAAAATAAATATTAGTATTCAGTTTTTGACGTGAAAATGAAATGAAAACGTCAAGAAAGGTCATTTGGTCTGCCTCAAAAAGATATTTATATTAGGAACAGAGGTAGACGATAATAAAAGTACATATGTATATAACTTCAAAAAATATTAAAAATAAACAAAAGCGTTAACTACACTGAAACTATAATACACTTCATAAATATAAACGATTCCTTACAAGAATTTCATTTTATTCAATTTCCAGGTTTCCTTTTCGTTTAAAGAAAAAACACAGGAACTTCAAATTATTTCTTTGAAATGTTGGCCGTGGCTACGTCTCAGTTGGTGTGATATCACATGATCGTGGTGGAAAATCGAACAGCCCAAAACGTGAAGTTATCTGCTCACGGAAGTTTTCTCTTAATAAAGCCATTGATTGATATGATGTGTGGGAAGTGGCGCCGTCTTGCTGAATCCAAATGTCGCCGAGATGACGAGCTTTAGTTACAGGCGTCAAACAGTCGGTTATTAGGGCGCGATAACGGGTGCCATTGACGGTTACATTCTCACTCGAAGAAATATGGACAGATGATTCCACCGGTTCACAAATCACACCATAATGTTGGTTTTTTTGGATGAAATTGCAGGTCTTGAATCTCTTCAGGTTCTTCTTCAATTTCGTTTGTTTACGTACCCATTGAACCAGAAAACGTTGGAACTTCTTGGAACTTTTCAAGAGCCCATAGAGCGAAGGGATGCCCCTTGGGAAGGTCAGGAGGCTTGTTTTTGCACATATTCGGCATCTGGGGGCTTGCTTTCATGTTTCAAATTTGACGTTTCAGATAGCAGTTGTCCCGTTTTGAAGATGTTATCTATGCAGAGTTGTATATCCATATCTTTATTTATGTTTGATATATCTATGACGTAAAAGGATCTGATAGAATCTTCACTTAATTGCAACAAATTCGTTCTATTTATAAAGCTTATGGTTACTGATGATTAAAAATTAACCACTTAATATATTTAAGCAAAAACGGCCGTGGTGGAATCGCGGGGAACCGGCGTAAATGCTGACCAAGCCCGAATCGACGGTCAGAAAGGGAAACATCTACCATAAGATGCTTCTTTAAGGCCAAACTTTTAATACGGATTTCAACAGTAAGGAGTATTGTCAGAATGAAGCAATCACCCAGAAGCGGCCAGCTTTGGCAAAAAGAAAAAAAAAAATTGTATTACTATACACTATACACACACCTTGATAGCGCTCCGAAAGCTGGGGAGTTGTTCCTATGCAACCAACTTATAGTACGGAGCCAGCCCCTAGTAATTGGTACAAATTTCTGTCTATGACCAATGATTTCACTTTAGAAAAATTCGCTTTAAGAGAAACTTGTGAAAATCGACTATTTCAGGTTTTTGCGAATATAGCTGAAGGTTTCTCTGATACTTTGTTTACTTTTTTGACCTTCAAAATGGCAACAAATTAGCTAACACAATTTTTGGCCTAAATCGGATCATTCTAACTATGAATTTCTTACAACCTAGACCACAGCTTCGCGGAACCTTCTTGTTTCTCGGCTCGCACACCTGGGAGCGTGTTGGGGGCGGTACGAAGCCGTTAGAAACGAGTTGGAGTGAGTTTCTTCCAGAATTGATCGAAGTTAAAAGAGACGGCGGGAGGTGGAGTTCGGAAATTCTCCATCAACAACTCTAGTTTTATGCAACCAGATCTTTAGGATGCCTGCGCTGGAAGCTTAAAAATCCATTATTTCCTTCATGTCCTGTTTTTAACAACTTCTGAAGTGAGTTTTTGGGTCACACAAAGGACAAATATTTGTCTAAATGTGATTTTTGGATGAACCCCGCGACCTTACCTAACCAAATTACGCTCATGCGAAAATAATGAATTTATATAATATATAATATATGTATATATTATATAATATGGGATTACATAAAAAATGTATACCCTAAATCACATGAACATTCTTATTAAGTTAAACCACAGATAACAAGACCTCCACTTTTACCTTATGCTAATAAAGACAAATGTCAACAAGTTAAAATGCGACACAATAGCTGGAGCGGCAATGCAACGGAATACTGAATACGCAAATGCAAAGGCGGAAAGATTACTAAATCATTATTTGCCAGCTTTCATATTATTTTTGGTGAACTATTTTGAAGCCACCCACATAAAGTTGAATATTTCAGCATACGCACACATGAACAATACTATAAACCTCAAATACACACACACATTTGAATGTCATAACGCTCCTTGCCGGTGAAACACTGACCATGTCCTTTGAACATGAAATTAGAGGTTTCTACGAGGTTGCGAAAGTCGCTTAATGCCAAGCAACATTGAAATGTTGCTGAAACATTTGCACTTTGTGTTTCCGGTAAACGCGGTAGCGAGCACCACTACAAACACAGGTGGCGAACTGGCGAACATTTGCCGACACCAAGCACACGAAGGAAAGCATAAGGACGCAAACAAGTTGTTGCAGAAGAAGATGCCGTCTGTTGCTGTTGTTGTATGGTTGTGACTTGTCGCCTGTTGATAAACATTGTAAACATTATGTGTGCGTGTGTGTGTAGCTCGCTGCGCCTAAGCAAAAAGGATGTGGCATAGGCAAATACATATATACTTGCGCTTTGTGATGTGAGTGTGTGTGTGAGCGCGAAGTTTACCACCACGCCTGTGTTGGTGTTAGGCAGCTGCTTTTGTGGCAGCCACACATATAAAATAGGATGCGCGTCCAACACAAGCCACAGAAGTCTCGAAATTATTCCACGGCCAACAAGTGCCTAGCACATAACGGTAAAACGGACTCACGGGCCAGCCAAAGCAGCCACTTTAAAGCCACATAACTGTACGTCGTGGCATCAATCATAATCGGTCCCAGTTGGCGCAGGTAGTGACAGTGGTCAAACGGATAGCGCGAATTATTCTACCGCGTCACAAAAAAGCGGAAACGGAAATCCGACGGTGTTGTTGTTTTGACCGGTGCAGCAAAAGTGAGAAAGTGTAAAGTTTTGTTTTGAACTTTCAATACTTGTCGAACGAAAATGATTGAATGAGTTAGTGTACCGTGTGAAATATACCGCAAACTCGTTTTTTAAAGTTTCAAGGTTTATTTCTAACCTCGCAAACTTGTGTGTGTAATTTTAAACGGCTGACACGTACATTTGACAGTTCAACGAGAAGTTATCATTTATACTGGGAATTTGGCGTGAAGATAAGGGTTCGAAGTGGAAATTTAAAAGGTTATTAAAAAAAAAATATAGTTTTTGAGTTATCGACAAGTTGTTCTTGAGCACTCAGAGATGTTTGATTTTCAAATATTATTCCAAATAAAATATTCAAGTGATCAGCAAGTTTTTCTTTATCACTTAGAGGTTTTTCCGTTTCAAATATTACTTCAAAAAATATTAAACATTTCAACTTTCAATAATTTGTGTTTTTGAATTTACCTTGCGAACTCTCAAAAACTTAAGGAAGTTTCTTTAACATTATTTCAAAAAGTTTTAAAATTTCAATTTTTGAAATCATATCTGTTTTGAGTTGGCGGTTAGTTGCTCTCAATCTCTTAGAAACGTTTCCATTTCAAATAGCACTTAAAAAATTTTAATTTCCAAAAATTATTCCAAAAATATTCAATATTAAGTATTTCGTAATGTAAATTTTCAAAAATTTTGGGTTTCTAAGTTGTCGGGAAGTAGTGTTCAATCACTCAGAGATGTTTGATTTTAAGTTGCTGGCAGAAGGTTCTCAATCTCTTAGAGACGTTTCCGTTCCAAATGGTATTTCAAAAAAATATTCCAAATTTTGTATAATAAATTTTCGAAAATTTGTGTTTGTAAGTTATCAGAAAGTTGTTCTCAATCACTCAGAAATGTTTCCGTTTCATATAGTATTACAAAAAAAATATTTAAACATTACATTTTCAAAAAATTTTGTTTTTGAGTTACTGATAACTAGTTCCCAACCACAGATGCTTCTGTTTCAGATATTATAAAAAAAATTTACATACATTTCTCGGCAGGCCTTTTCAATGGCCTCTACGTCTGCGTAACGCTTTCCTTGAATGGGCAAATACATTTTTAGGGAAAGGAAGAAGTCGCACTTTGTAATATCAGGTGAATACGGATTTTGATTTGCTCACATGTTGATCGTCATTTATATCCTCACGACCACTTTGAAACGTTGAAACCACTTGTGCACTTTGCTACGGGATAGGCAATAATGATAGGCACGCCATAAACTTGTTTCATTAATTGAAGCGTGTCGGTAAAAGTTTTACCAATTTTAGAACAAAATTTAATGTTGGCTCTTTGTTCGAAGCTCATTTTCGCTCCTTTAACACAAGCATACTGACACTTAAAACGCAATAACTTCACTTCCAATCTATGAAATGTCATGAAATTCTCACTGGACTATTGATAAAGATAGCAGAAGATTTTAACGCACCAGTCATAGATAGCTCCACCAGGGTTCACTAGATTCAAAAAGTCCTGTCTACTTTGGAAAGCACCTTGTATTTAAGTCAGCTCAAAGTCAATTCAGACAAATTGAGAGGGCTAATCTAAATTTAAATTATTAATTTTCCTCCATTGACTTGATCTAAAATCTAATTTAATATTAATGTGATAAACAGATATATCTCAAAATTTTCATGAAGACTGTGGTATTACTCGGAGACACTTTCACCTTTTCGACTCTCAATTTGCCATCCTAGAGCGCAATGTCACTACTTTTCCATTGTTTGTTTATAGTTTAATCAAGCAGGTTGTTCTCTAAGATTACACAGTGTCGTAGGGTTTCGGCGGACAAAAATAACGATGTTTTTGCAGCTTACAGAAGAAAGTAAAAATAGCTGATTCAGAAATATATTTTGGATATTTGGTATATACTGACTTTATCATCGAGTCATAAAACGCATATAAAATCGAAATTCAAATTGAAGCAGGTACCAAAATGTGTATCTTCTCCATCAAGACAAATTTGTGGTTTTTATATGGTTATGAGGAGAAAGTTTTATTCATCATCTAAATTTTCTCATCCTAAGGCGACAAAGACAGATTAAATTTCAGTTATATGAGACCTTTAATGGAATAAAAGACTTGTTCATATCGTGTTAAAAAAAGAAAGGCATGCGAAGAATAATCCTTTACGTTTTAAAGATAAAATTAGCAAATACCTTAGCTTCGGTTGCGATGCAACTATAATATATACATATAATAATAACCTTCGCATGTACATTTATATAGCAACTATATGTATACTAAATGTACAAATCTACCGTAAACATAGCCAACCAACGGTTTGCATATAAAAGTTGTTATTTATTAGTTTGTCAAAAAAGTCTTGCGATATTTTTATTGAATTTTTATTGAATTGTTCATAAAATTTTTTTTGATGACTCATGCCCAGCTCTTGACCTATGCTACGGCTGCTACTATGCCGGTCTCTTTCGATTAATTCAGCGATTTGATCGCAATTTTCGACGACAGCACTCCGGAGTGTGGTGCATCTTCGACCACCTCTACACCAAAAAGGAAAACGTTGAAACCATCGTTGTGTGGTGGAAATGGAATGTATCGGGTCCATAAACTGCACAAATTTTATTGGCGGCTTGAGATGCATTTTTGCCTTTATCGTAGTAGTCCTGTAAAATATGCCATACTTTCTCTTTATTTTGTTCCATGTTTGCGACGACAATCAATCAAACACGTGTTAGCGCGTGAAATGAATGAGCTTTCCAAAAAGGTATAGCATGACCCGATGCGACGAATAAAACTAGAACTACGCGCTCTCAGCGCCAACTAGCCAAAATACCGCACGACTTTTTTGACAAACTAATATTTTAGCCAAGTTTCTTTGATATAAACAACCTTCGAGTCTTTTTAAGATAACTAAATGAGAATAAAAGATTAAAAAATTCTAATAATCTGAGTCAAGTAAGAGAGTTTTCCATACAAGGACTTGAATTTGATCGGTCAGTTGTCTAATATCTGCGGTTCCGACAGATGAGTGGCTTCTTGCGGAGAAAAGGACGTTTGTAAAATTTCAAAACGAATTGCAGTCCGAACGTTATCAGGCGATGCTGCTGAAGTCTTATCCATTCACATCCAAGGGGACGAATTCGCACGACTATAACAGCAAGCAGAGCCGTCTTTAAGGCGGAAAAAAGCAGAGAGGTGGGAGCAGCGGTGGCAAACCTTATCCAAAGGACTGATCACAGATATTCCTTCGTGTGTAGACAGACGACAACAAGGAGACCTGAATTTGCACCCAATCCAAATACTGAGTGGCCATTGATGCTTTAGAAAGTATCTGTTCGAAATTAGTCATGACATTAGTCGGTATTGTCCGATGTTTGCAGGGTGCACTCTGAACACGTATTTTTTCAGTGCCTCGCTTTTTAAAAATAATCAAAAAGCTAAAACCTACACTCGGCGGTAGTGTAAAGGTAGAAAATTTGACCACACATATGTATTATATGTATACTATATGTCAGTCCTCAGATAAATGGAAAGCTGCCAGTAAAGCGTCAGCTCTAATTATGACAAAACTAAGAAAACTTAGAATAGATTAGGAATCAGTCAGTCCGTACAATAGAAGAGACTTAAATGTCTTTTTGTCTCCCATGAAGTAGTACTTAATATGGTGGATCCGTGGGAGAGACATGAGTTGGGAATATATTAGGTTTAGCGGATTAAAGTTCAGCACTCTCTCTTTAATGTTTCCCCCTGCTATAAAAAAAAGGCAGACAGAGAGTTGCCCATAGCTAAGTCGACTCAACTCATCATACAGGGTGTAAAAAAAGTCTTCATTTATCATATTCAGGGTAAAAATATTGATGTTAGGTACATAAAAATACAAAGAAATTGTTCTAGTTGGAGAATAATGTTGTGGACATACTTATGAGATATTATTTACTCATAGAGGAGCGGTCGTCAGTTTGAAACTCATCAAAAGCAAGGGAAAAATATCTGGAAACAGTTTTTTTTAGCAGACACCACTCAACAGATAATATAGGCTGATCCACAAGTATTCCTAGTCGGTTCATAGTAATATATAATATGGAGTAAAGACAGTCTACTCAAATTGAGGAACTATCCTCAAGTTTACTTAAATGTAACCACATCCAAGCTTTAATAAAATCACATGTGAGTATGACATGACATCGCAATTTATTTTATAAAACCCATAAGCTTCAAGGGCAAGTACTAAATTTAACGAGTTAATTGCGAACGCAAGCGGGAGCCATTTTCAACCGAACTTTTCCATGGTTTCAGTTTGCAAAACATTGTGTGAAACTCTTCAACGTCACTAGACACCTCATGCAAAATGCAAAAGCCACAGCCACAAAGGTGTTTTAATGGGAAATAAAAGAGAGAGTAACAGTTTTTCGGGGTTACGCTGCTCATTTAAGCATTTACAGTTTTTTTTTGGTATTTTTTAGACGCACTAAAACTCATCATTTGCGCTCTAATTGTTCAGCAAACACTTAATTTAAATACAATTTTCACTTGCACGTGTTAAAAATTATAGGTAATACAAGTAAATGAGGGCAGCTGCAGGGAGAGGGGACTTATGTACAATATGAAAAATTTACATATGAAGCAACATCGTTAGGCGACGGCTTAACGTAAACTTGAAGAAAAAGGTAACAAAAAATAAATAAATAAACTGGAATTTGTACTCGCTATCACACTAACTGTAATTGTTCGTGAAGACAACTGAGCTATTGACCAACGGCACAGAGTTGAAAAATGTGTCTGATTTTAGGTGCATATTGACCTCATATAGAGATAGAAACAATAAATAAAAAAAAATATATATAAATGTACATTAGGATGAGCCAGAAATTTACTTCGCCACGAGCTGAGTAGGTTTAGCCATGTCTGCATGTACTTGTATATACGTTAACTAGCCTATCAGTGTTTAAAAAGCGATTTGAAATTTTTTTCAAATTTTTCTGAGAAACCTGCGGCAAGTTGTCAATAAACTCTTGACCGATAGTTGAGCTTATTTTCCTATATAGAGCTTTACAATCGCGTAGGACTCTATCAAACATGTCTCCTCCTCTTCTACCTATTGAGAGCTTCTACAAAATATTTCATTCATGTCACGTTTACTTGGTTGTTGAGCAAGTCAGATATTGCTTCCATCGATACTCTGCTAAACTCATTACATATTATACATTATATTATTCGATTAGCTATCACCAAGTAGCCAGAGACATTTTCTATTTCCGGAG